TGGGGTCTGTGCGGCTGCCCGAGGCCCTCGACGGCCGCCTTCAGCGAGCGCCGGCTGTGCCCGTCCCCGTGCCAGGCGCCCCCAGGGCGGAAAGGCCGGCCTCCCAGCCTCCACTCGGGTCCCGACCGAGGAGGCCGGCTTGTGTCTGCCGGCCTTTTGCTAGGGCCTGCTCTGTGCTCCTGTGAGGGCCGGCGGTGACGGGAATGCCCGACTCCAGCCGGTCCAACTGGGATTTATTGTGCAAAGCGTGGAGGGTTCCTTGTGAACCGAACATGGCCCCTGACCTCTCAGGGGCTTGAGGCTGGTGGGGAAAACAGATGCTAAAGTGTCTCACTGAGAAATGTGAAATAGTGCGACCTAGGAGAGAGGCACCCGGTGTTCCCAGTGCCTCAAAGAAGCCGGGAAGCTTCTCCCAGGAAAAGGTGCCTGAAGGGAGGGTTCTCCTGAGGCGGGTGAAGAGAGGAGGGCAGACTCTGCCCCGGAGAGAACGGCGTGTCCGGGGCCCGTGACCAGGGGAGGAGAATGAATAACAAGCACAGAGGCCCGCGTGGCCGGGAGGGAGGGAGTGCAGGGCGGGTGCAGGGGAGCGTGGTGCGGGGCGAAGCTGGAGGCGGGTCGAGGGCAGGCCGGGCAGGACTTCGTAGCTTTTGCTGGAAGACCGGTGAGGTTTTTGTTGGTGGTGGTGGTTTATTTTTGATGGGGAGCGGGGCGTGCGGTGGGGGAGGCTCCATAGTGCGAACAGATGGAGGACGGATGGACACACCGTTGGGAATGAGGACTGAGGTGGTGGTGGAAACGCAGAGTTGGACGGGTCCTAAAGGCGTATAAGAGGGGGTGAAATCAGTAGGACTCGATGATGGACTGGGTTCAGGGAGGGGAAAAAGAGGACTTCAGTGTAACTCCGAGTTTTCTGGCTTATGGCAACTGCGTAGGTTTGGTTTTGGTTTTTTTTGGCCAGGGGAAGGGAGAAATCATCCCTGACGCCCAGGAGGCAGTTTGAAATACGGGTTTGGAACGCAGAAAAGAGATTTTTGTTGGAAATATAAATTTGAGGGTAATTGGTATTTGGCGGTGATTGAGCCATTGATGTGGGTAAGATCACCTAAGTCGGAACCTTTAGTCGTCGTGTTCACGCTGCCAGGCACTAGAAATTCGAAGGGTATGCGAACGAGCAAGAATACTCAGAAGAATTTCATAATTTAAAGAGGGAAGAAAAAATGTTTGTGAACAGGGTTTGAATCTCATCAGCATCATTCATAGGTCTGTGATTTTGAGCAAGTTACTTAGCCTCTCTGTGTCTTAGTTCCTTCATCTTCTTGAATGGGTGAGCAGAGCCTCACTGTGTGCTGGGGAGATCAGAAGATGGGAGACTTTCAAATGCCAACTAGTGGTCCCACCTCCCTCCTTCCCATCCAGTTTCTAGAATAACTGTCTTAGAAGGACGCTACTTCTTTTTTGGATTCTAGTTATGAATCTCTTGAGAAAACAGGTCAAATGCAGGAAAGAGAAAAAATAGTAAAAAGCAAAGAAAACCACAAAAAGTGAACTCAAAATATGAAAGCTGAAAGAAATTATGGGGAGCATTTAGCCCATTACTCCTATTTAGCTGAAAACAAACCAACAGAGATTAAGTGGCTTGATACAGGCTGGTCAGTTAGCCATGCGGGTACTCAAGGCCGGTACTTACTCTGCTGCCTACACTGTTCTTTCAGTCAGTAATCCGGAAGGTCCCTTCCAACTCCACTAATAATAATTGCTAATATTTGAGTACTTCCTATTTGCCATGTGTTAACCCCAAAGCTTTACTTGTCTAAACCAACTTAATTCCCTTTTTGACCACCCTAGGAGATAGGCAACCTTTCTGTGCATGGGATGGTGCCCAACCAATTGAGCCACATGGGCCAGGGCTGTGAATTCCTTTTGAGGCAGCGTAGAATAGTGGTTGAGAATGCAGGCTCTGTAGTCATCCTGCCTCTGCTCATAGCTCAGTATTTTTACTTAACTTCGTAAACATAGGTTAAAGATGAGTCATTCTTCTTTGCAGATTTCTTCCTCACCTAACATAGGCTTTGACCTCGCTCTGGGCCACCATTCCCCTGCTATACCACCTACTCACACATTATTCTTCCTTTGCTTTCGGAAGGGAGTGCCCAGTAATCGGCTCCCTATTGCTTCCCTACATACTATTGTTGTTTAAAATATTCAAGTAAAATGAACTACCTAAGGAAGATTTTCTGTTTCCCGAACTATTGCAAAGTAACTCCAAATGGTATATCTCAATCCTTGTCAATTTACTTGCTCTTTTTTTAAAAGCAGAACTCCCTCCCCCCCCCCCCCAAAAAAATTGAAATCTTGCATAGAAGCTTAATAGATAAGCTGGATCAAAGCAAAATACACTGCTAAAATAGTTTCTCCTGCCCTAGCCAGTTTTGTTCAGTGGATAGAGCATCAGCCTGCAGACTGAAGGGTCCCAGGTTTGATTCCAGCCAAGGGTACATGCCTGGGTTGTGGGCTTGATCCCCAGTGGGGGGTGTGCAGGAGGCAGCCCATCAATGATTCTCTCTCATCATTGATGTTTCTATCTCTCCCTCTGCCTTCCTCTCTGAAATCGATAAAAATATATTTTTAAAAAATAGTTCCTCCTCCTGTAACTTCCACTTCTTGCTACCATGACCCACCCAAGGCTGGGAGGGCAAGTGGGAATCAGCAGTAATTTTCAAGGAGGGGCTTCTAGCTTTCCAAATGCTCTGAGTGGGACTTCCCTCAATTCTGGTTTCTTTGGGGTTCTGCTCTGTACATCTTTGATATAGAGGCTATCTTCCAGTAAGTTGGCCTAGAGTCCTACTTCTTTGGCTTTCTTGACACTTATGGTCCCTAGATATTTCAGAATCGACTTTTAAAAAATAAACTTGACCCAGCTGGTATTGCTCAGTGGTTGAGCATCGACCCATGAACCAAGAGGTCACTAATTCGATTCCCAGTCAGGGCACATGTCCAGGTTGCAGGCTCTATCCCTAGTAGGGGGCATGCAGGAGATAGCCAACCAATGATGTTCCTATCTCTCTATCCTTTTCCCTTCCTCTCTAAAATAAACTTGAAATATCTAAGGAGCTTCCTAATAAACCATCATAGAACCCTACATCTCTACAGAGCATAATATGAAAAAAATTTTAAATACCATTTTAAAAAATGGCAACTTTCTACTCTCCTGAATTGTAAACTTACATTTTTACATTTCAGACTTTCCCTCAAAAATGCTGCTAGTTTTCTAAAAGCATTGCATAGGATTTCTCAGGCTATTCTTCTACAGAAGGAGCAAACTGGAGAGCTTTAAACTTGGCTGTTCATATTGTTGTCACAGCAGAAATCAGCAAGAAACAACTTCAGATTGTTTCCACTTACTTCTATTGCTCTTTCCACAACCTTTCTGTAGGGAGGAACAGGTGAGACTAAGATATTTGAGCTTAATTTAGATGTCCTACCTGCTGATGCCTCTATGGATTCTTTACCTCACTAATGCTATAGGAGTTGGAGGGATAATTAAGGTTTTTTGATAGAGCCATTGACCTCAGGTTAATTTCTGTTATAGGATGTGATGGATACTGGGCAGAGGGAAGGGAAGGACTAGAGTTGAGACTACATAGCTAGGAAGTGAAAGGAAGGATCCAACTAGGCTATGATACTTGGATTTAACCTGTTTATCAGCCATTTCTTAAGAACTGACAAATCTGCCTGCATTCTCTCTATGTGCTGTTAGTAAAGTAATAACCCTGGCCTGTGTTGCTCAGTGTTTAGAGTGTCGTCCTGGGCACCAAAGGATAGTGGGTTTGATTTCTGGCCCCAGTCCGGGCACATGGAGGAGGCAACTAATTATTATGTTTCTCATGTTGATGTTTTTCTCTCTCTCTCTCTCCTCCCCTCTCTGCTTTCTCTCCTCCTTTCCTCCTCCCTCCCTTACACTTTCTCCTTAAAGATCAATGGAAAAATATCCTCCAGTGAGGATTGAAAATAAATAAATAAATAAATGTGTGTGTATGTATGTAAGAATTGCTAAAATATATTAAAACTAGAGGCCCGGTGCATGAATTCATGCATGTGTGGGGTCACTCAACCTGGCCAGTGATCGGGGCCGGCTGGAGTGGAGGATACCGCGGGAAGTTGGCTGTGGGAGTGCACTGACTACCAGGGGGCAGCTCCTGCATTGAGCATCTGCCCCCTGGTGGTCAGTGTGCATCATAGTGACTGGTCAACTGGTCATTCGGTCTCTTAGGCTTTTATCTTTCTACCTACTTACCTACTAGTGTGTGTGTGTATGTGTGTGTATGCTGTTAATAATGATTTCATGATTCCATTTAAAAAAACACTGTACATATACAAAAGTCTAAAAGGATATAAACCCATTGAATTATAAATGATTTTATTTTCTTCATTATTAATGTATTGTCTGAACTTTAATTAATTAATATTTTTAAAATATATTTTTATTGGTTTCAGAGAGGGAGGGAGAGGGAGAGACAGAAAAACCAATGATGAGAGAGAATAATTGATTGGCTGCCTCCTACACGTCCCCTATTTGGGAATTGAACTGGCAACCTGGGCATGTGCCTTGGCTGGGAATGGCACCCTGACCTCCTGGTTCATAGGTTGAAGCTCAACCACTGAGCCACACTGGCTGGGCGTATTGTGTGAACTTTTAAAATGAACTTGTGTGTTTTCAATTTATCAGGAGAAAAGTAAGCATAGTGGTTAAAAGCGTGGACTCTTGGTGTCAGCCAGATTTTGACTCTACCATTTCTTGGCTTTTTGACATAGGCATAGTAATTGGACCTCCAGAAGCCTTGGTTTTCTCATCTATATACTATGATAATAATAGAACCTATATCTTGAGACTTTTGAGGGTTAAATTAGATATTGGATGTCCAGTGTTGAGCATAGTGCCTGGACATAGTGTTTGATAAATGTTAGCTCTTATTACTATTACTGTTTCCTTTCTTTTAAAGATCCATTTACCCCCCCACCCCCCAAAACTTTCCCTTGGCAAAAGAATACCAATGATAGCAATTAAAAAACAAGAAACAAAGCAGCAGACTGATGGCCTTGGGTAAGTATCACAATGAAAAGAAATAAGATCAATGTTCCCAAAACTCCCCACAATTAGAGTAGACAAAAGAGTTTTAGATAAAAGTACATGGTGTTAAATCTGTGTTATTATTCTGTAGAGAATAGCTGTGGATTGTCTGTACTTCTTTAATGCAGATGTCTCTCAAATTGTTGTCTATGTTATTTCTTTGTGACAGTACACTTGAATTAGCTTTAGCAGAAGAGATATGGAGGAGCCATAGAACATTAAGGATGAATTCAGGAAGACCCGAGACCATGGAGAACTTGCCTGCTCTCTACACTATTTTCCAAGGAGAGGTATATTATTTGGGCTTTGAAAACTTACCATTTATGTTAAGCATAGATTGAGGGTGAAAAGCAGCTGGGTTTGGAGCTCCTGTCATTTGAGAATATCTTGAGCATTACAGTTTAAACGGGAAGGGCTAGTGGAGCATCTGGCCATCACCTGTATCCCTTCTAAGCTCCAGACTTCCAGCTGCATATTGACATCATCTTTTGGATATCTCACAGTATCTCTGACTTACGTTTTATTTATTTATTTATTTATTTATTTATTTATTTATTTATTTTAATATGTTTCATTGATTTTTTTAGAGAGAGAGGTGGGGGAGGGATAGATAGAAACATTGATGAGATGAGAGAGAAACATCGTTGATCAGCTGTCTCATGCACGCTCCCTACTGGAGATCAAGGCTGCAACCCGGGCATGTGCCCTGACCCGGAATTAAACCAGTAACCTCTTGTTTCCTGGGTCAGTGCTCAAGCACTGAGCCACACCAGCTGGGCTGATTTATGTTTTGAAAAGAATTTTTAATTTTCTCACAAAATCTATTCTAGTCTTTCCCATATCAGCAGATGGAACCACTGTCTATTCATCTACCCACACTGGAAACCTGGGCATTATCCTTGATTTTTCCTCTTAATTTGATTTTGATTTTCCCTTCTGCTCCAGTCCATTAGTCCTATAATTTCTTCCTCTCAGATGCGTCTCTGGTCTTTGTACTTCTTTATCGTGGCAACCCATTAGTTCAAGCTCTCCATCTCTTCCCTGGCCCTTACTGGGATCTTCTATTGTAGCCTCTTTCCAATCTGTTCTTTACATCATAGCCAGAATAGCATTTTAAAAGCAGATTGGACCATGCTGCTTTCTCACAGCTTTTCTGGGTTTCTCATTACACTGAATACATTCAAACTTGTTTTTGTGACCCTTATATGACTTAACTTCTATCTAATCTGACAGTGTTGTTTTGTCTACTTGTCCCCCAGCCACACTGTTGCTCTTACAGCTCTGAATATTATAAGCTTGCTTCTTTCTCAGGACTTTTGCATATACCGTTGCTTCTAACTCCATTTTCCCCACCAACTTCTCTTTATTTTTTAGGTCTTAGACTTAATGTCATTTCCTTAGAGATCTTTTTCCACTATAAGTACACAGACTTATCCTGCATTTATTTATGTACTTGTTTAATGTCTTTCTTCCTCACATGATACTAAGCTCCATGAGGGCAGAGCCCTGTCTGTCTTGTTCAGTGTTGTCTATCTTAATCCCAGATTGTATTTGTTTTCAGAGTAGAGGCTTTTGAACAGGACAAAGCCTGGATTCCAGTCCTAGTTCTTTTATTTATTACTGGAGGCTCGGTGCATGAAATTTGTGCACTGGAGGGGAGGAGGGGGGGTGTGGGAAGTCCCTCAGACCGGCCTGTGCCCTAAGCCGACAGTTGGACATCCTTAGCTCTGCCACAGAGGCAGGAGAGGCTCCCGCCACCACAGCTGCGCTTGCCAGCTGTGAGTCTGGCTTTTGGCTCACTGACCACTGGGCGCACTGACCACCAGGGGGCAGCTCCTGCGTTGAGCATCTGCCCCCTGGTGGTCAGTGCGTGTCATAGTGACCAGTCGTGCCGCTGTTTGGTCGATTTGCATATTGGCCTTTTATTATATAACATAGGATAGGATGTCATCCTTGAAATCATCACTTGATCACTTGAACCTCAGATTTCTTTTTTTTTTTTTTTTAATATATTTTATTGATTTTTTACAGAGAGGAAGGGAGAGGGATAGAAAGTTAGAAACATCGATGAGAAAGAAGCATCGATCAGCTGCCTCCTGCACATGCCACACTGGGGGTTTGCCCGCAACCAAGGTACATGTCCTTGACCGGAATCGAACCTGGGACCCTTCAGTTCCCAGGCCGATGCTCTATCCAGTGAGCCAAACCAGCCAGGTAAACCTCAGATTTCTTATTTATTAAATTGAGAGAACAACTTCATGGAATTGCCATGATGGTTAAATAAGCTATCATCTAAAACACAATGCCTAAGACATGGCAGGAATTCATTATCATTATCTCCCTTCTCTTGAAGCAAAAGTAAAGGCAAAAAATTGTTTTCAGTGACTTATGAGTGCCTGTAGTATTTTAACTATATAATTTTTATGGCATTTATACTTCCTTTGTGGTTGATAAAAGTCTTACCTCCTCATAATGTTAGGCCTTTGAAGACACACTTTGTGACTTCCAGTTGATTATAGATAATTGTGGCTCTTGGTTTTTGTTAAGTTTATCCCAACCTGTAATATAACAGTCAAGATATAAAGGGTGATAAATTTTAAAAAATAGCAAACAACTTAGCTGTTAGAGCCTTTGACCTTTAAGACCCATAGTACCCGGGGGTTGGAGAGGGCAATGGGGGAAAAAAGGGACATATGTAATACTTTCAACAATAAATATTTATTAAAAAAATAAAATAAAATAAACCCCATAGCACCCCTAAAGGTCAAGTTACCAGGACTCAGGAAAAGGAAGTGGTAGCATTGTATATGAAATTGATTTTTCTGACAAGCCTTGACTTGTCAGGTGTTGCACAAAAGAAAGAGAAGAGTTCTCTGCCCTCCACAGACTGACACAGATTTTTAGTAAAGTGGCTCCTGATCTTCAGCTTTTTCTTATATGAGCTGGGGCTTGCATTAGTGTAGGTTTTATATTTTACTATCAGAATGGATGGGCTAGAGCAGCGGTCGCCAACATTTTGAACCTCACCGACTACCCGTGGTCCGCGGACCACCGGTTGGTGACCACTGGGCTAGAGTAATGTTCAGAGAGAACTTTACAGTTCTAGCTTAGAATTTCAGGAGCACATTTTGAAAATTGATGGTTTAGAAGTCACTGGAATTAAGGATAGAGAAATTTCATGATAAATTGGAAATAAGAAACTTTTTCAGAATATTCATCCAACAGATATTTTAATGAGTGCCTAATATTTACAAAGAAGACCTGGTTGCATTAAAATTCAAAAACATTTTTGTAAGCTTAATGTAAATCAGCACTTTCACACATTCTGTCATTCACTTTCTCCCAAGAAATTGTTGATCCCATTTTATGGGTAAGGAAACGCTTCTCAGAAGTTAAGTAGTGTTCAGATGGTTAACAAGTGGCGAAGCTGGGATCCTAAAGTTCTCTCTCCGAGTCTGCTTTCTGCTACTCTGCAGTTGGGATTGTTCAACTGTACATAAGTGCATGGAGGAACTGAAAGACCCATGAGAACTCTTGACTGAATTGAGGTATAGGAGGAAGGTAAATGGTAAATCTGGTTGTTCCATGGTCATTTGTTTGTACCTCTATTTTGGTGTTAAATATAGTCTGTCTTGTGTTATTTTTACTTGTACATGTATATATATGTCTCCTTCACTGGATTTTGAATTAGTGGAGAGCAGAGGCCATGGCTGTCTCATGTATCTTGGCAACTACTTCAAATTCATTTTAAAAAGGCTAGGCATTCCTTTTTTAAAGTTGTTTCTATTTTAAATAAAATAAAAACATGGCCTCCTGCATATAGATGCTCAGTAAATGTTTGATTTAAATTAATCCCGAGTTTCTTAGGTCCTATTGTTGAAGAAACTGGTGGTGCAGCCCATTTCCCAGAAGTTCTCTTCAGTAGGCTGAGCAGGACTGAGGGGCCCAGTGGTCAAATAGCTGAGAAGCCAGTATTCATCCTTTTCTTGTCCATTAAGTATCATAGGGGATATAAGCATAGCAGTGGGAATTGGGGTTTGGCTTAGCCTCGCCATAGTTAAAGAAATACTGGGGGCGCCGGGGAGACTCCTTCTAGAGCTTGCATGCACACATCTTACCTCTTCCTCTTCCCTCAAGAACCACACTGCTTTCTCTCTCCTAAGCTCCAAGGGCCCTTTTTGCCTCTATCTTGTTCCTGAGCCCACACAGCCCAGCTGGCTCACCTTTTCTACCTCTGTGACTTTCTAAATAAACTTTCCTTGTATTTGAAAAACAAAAATGCTGAGGGAGGTTGGTGTTAGTAAGGTGGAGTAGAAGTTAAAATAATTCTGTTCTCTACCTGGTCATACTACTTTCTAATTTTGTGAGTTTGCACAAGTAACAATGTCTCTAAGCTTAAATTCCTCATTTACATGATAGAGATAACTAGTTTCAAGGCCAATGCAACCTCTAATCTGAAGATGGTAAATTCATTTACCCAAGTCCTGAGTTTAGTTGAGATAATTACTGAACCCCCCCCCCCCCCCCCCGTGCTATTTGACTAATTATTCTGGGACACCAGAGCAGACTGTGTGATCATTTACAGTAGGTGCCATTCTCTTAATTTCAACTCTGCATCCTAGGAGACACAGTGATGGAAACACCTGGTGCTGGAAATAGGCATGAATGCCTTTTCCTAACTGAACAGTTGAGTGCATCAATTCTGGAGCACATTAACCTTCCCTTTTGGGAGAGGCCAAATTAAGGTCTGTTATAATATTTCTTCAGAAGATCATAATAGGACACTGGAGCTTCAGGACTGAAAAGTGAAATTGTCCTAATTAACAACAGCAAGGTGATTTGGGTTCCAACTTCCAGATGCTACTTTTAAGTTTGTTGGAGTGTTGTGCCCTTTTAATAATGTTACACAATATGAGACATCTTAGCTCTCTTTCTAGAACTTGGAGCAAAAGCTCAAGTGCCTTTGGTTGGTTCAGAAAGAAGGGGAGTGCTTTTATTGTAATTAAAATTTAAAGTCACCTTTTTTATCCACATGGTCCTGTTTTATAGATGACCATGTGAACTTAGGTAAGCACTTCATGTCTCTGATCTTCACTCTTCTCATTTGAAAAATGATGGGATTGAACTAGCTAATCTCTAAGATCCTTCCTCTAGTTCCACCTTGTTTTGATTTTAAATGCTAGTACCTACCTGATTGTACTGTTTTTGGGGGGGACTGTCCGGTTCCTACCCCAGCATAGCATGTTCATCAGTGTAAAGTTTCAGACTTGGCTCTTAACCCATTCTTTTATTTAAAAAAAATGTTTTTATTGATTTTAGAGAGAGAGAAAGGGAGAGAGAGCGAGAGAAACATTGATTGACTGCCTCCTGCACAACCCCTACTGGGAATCAAATCCACAACCTAGGCCTGCATCCTGACTGGAGATTGAACCAGTGACCTCTCGGTGCATGTGACGATGCTCAACCAACTGAGCCACATTGGCCAGGGCTTAACTCATTCTTAATGCTCTATCTTAGAGAATTGGTTCAAGTGCTTTGTCCCAATATCCCTATTAACAAAAAGGGGGAATGGAAATTTTTTGAAAAAAAAATTTTTTTTTAAGACTTTTAAAAAATATATATTTTATTGATTTTTTACAGAGAGGAAGGGAGAGAGATAGAGAGTCAGAAACATCAATCACCTGCCTCCTGCACACCCCCCACTGGGAATGTGGCCACAACCAAGGTACATGCCCTTCACCAGAATTGAACCTGGGACCTTTCAGTCTGCAGGCCGACGCTCTATCCACTGAGCCAAACCGGTTAGGGCGGGAATGGAAATTTTAATCTATTTTTATCCTAACATTGAAGTGGGTAGTAATGCTATTTGGTAAAGGAGGAGGCACTGGACCAGGAGTCAAGGGATCTAGGATCTGTGCCTATCTTGTATCTAAATTAGATGTATGCCTTTCTGTGCTTCAGTGTCTTGGACTGTAAATTCTTTTTTTTTTTTTTTAAATATATTTTATTGATTTTTCACAGAGAGGAAGGGAGAGAGATAGAGAGAGTTAGAAACATCGATGAGAGAGAAACATCAATCAGCTGCCTCTTGCACATCCCCCACTGGGGATGTGCCCGCAACCCAGGTACATGCCCTTGACCGGAATCGAACCCGGGACCTCTCAGTCCGCAGGCTGACGCTCTATCCACCGAGCCAAACCAGTTTCGGCTGTAAATTCTTAAAAAGTTAAAATTTATTGAATGTACTAGTACATTGGGCACCAGATACCAGTGCTCAGTGCTTTATGTACATCGTTTGTTACCTGCAGCAGCAAAGTGAGTACAAGGGGAACTTAGACCCTGAAAGGCAAGTTGTGCTCAGATCCCATGGGTAAGAAGTGGGAGAGCTGGGATTAGAGGCCACATCTTTCACTCCAAAGCCTGTGCTCTTTCTACACCTCTGCTATTTCACCTTATCTGTAACATAGGAACCTACCATTTACGCTTCCTAAGATTGTTGCCTGGAGCAGATAAGATGTCAACTGTCACATTGCTTTTGGCTGCTAGGATTTTATAGTTAAAGAGAACCCAGGGGCAGTTTTAGTGTAGTTAAGTCTCCCTGGGTTCAGATCCCAGTACTGTTATTTGCTAGATTTGAACACTGGTCAGGTAACTTAGTCTCTCCACATGTCAGTTTTGTCATCTATCAGATGAGCATTATAACAGTACCAACAACATCTGGTGTCATGAGGATTCTGTAAAGCACTTTAGATAGTGTTTTACATGTAGTGAGTATCCTATCTAATAAAAGAGAAACATGGTAATTGGCGTACGACCGCTACCCTTCCCATTGGCTAATCAGGGCGATATCCAAATTAACTGCCAGCCGAGATGGCAGCCAGCAGCCAGGCAGCTTAAACTGAACACGAGGCTTGCTTGCTTCAGTGACGGAGGACTCCAATGTTCCCCGCCTGCCTTGCCGGCCTCTGAGCCTGCAGTTTGAACATTGTAACAAATATAGAAGCTAAGCAAAACCCCAGAAACCTGCTTTCAGCGAGCCGGGATCTCAGAGCTGGAGTTGATACAGAGTTTCGATTATAGAACCTAAACAAACCAGATACCTACTTTCAGCAGCTGAGGCCTCAGAGCTGGAGCCAAGCCTCAGAGCTAAAGCTGGCCCAGAATAAAAAAAAAAAGAAACGAAAAAAGGAGCAGTTGGGAGCTTCAGTCCCAGCCTGAAAACAGCCCTCAGCCCCTCACCCAGACTGGCCAGGCACCCCAGTGGGGACCCCCACCCTGAAGGGTGTGTGACCAGTTGCAAACAGCCATTATCCCCTCATCCAGGCTGGCCAGGTACCCCAGTGGGGACCCCCACCCTGATCCAGGACACTCTTCAGGGCAAACCAGCCAGCCCCCACCCATGCACCAGGCCTCTATATAGTAAAAGGGTAATTTGCCTCCCAGCACTGGGATCAGCGGAGCTGCGAGGCCTCCCGGCACCGGGATCAGCGTGACGGGGCAGCGCCCAAACCCCCAATCACCCTGCGGCTCTGTGTGTGACGGGGCGGGGCCACAACCTCCCTATCAGCCCTGCTCTGTTCCTGACAGGGGAAAGCGCCCCAACACCCTGATCGGCCCTGCTCTGTGCCTGATAGGGGGGAGCTCCCCAACCCCCTGATCGCCCTGCGGCTCTGTGTGTGACAGGGTGCGGCGCCCCAACCCCCCCACCCCACGGGCCCTACTCTGTGTGTGACGGGGTAGAGCCATAACCTCCCCATCAGCCCTGCCCTGAGTGTGAGAGTGGTGGCGCCCCAACCCCCTGATGGGCCCCTGCTCTGTGCGTGACAGGGGGGAGCTCCCCAACCCCCTGATCGGCCCTGCTCTGTGCGTGACGGGGCAGCGCCCCAACCCCCTGATTGGCCCTGCTCTGTATGTGACGGGGTGGCGCCGCAACCTCCCCATCGACCCTGCCTTGAGTGTGACGGGGCAGTGCCCCAACCTCCCAATCAGCCCTACCCTGAGCGTAACTGAGGGTGGCATCGCAACCTCCCAATCCGCCCTGCTCTGTGCATGACAGGGGGCGGCGCCCCAACTCCCCAATCGGCCCTGCTCTGAGCCCGACCAGGGGCTGCACCTAGGGATTAGGCCTGCCCTCTGCCACCCGGGAGCAGGCCTAAGCCAGCAGGTCGTTATCTCCCGAGGGGTCCCAGACTGCGAGAGGGCACAGGCCGGGCTGAGGGTCTCCCCCCGCCCCCCCCCCCCTCGAGTGCACAAATTTTTGTGCACCGGGCTTCTAGTTCCTATATAAAAGGGTAATATGCAAATTGACCCCAACAGCAGAACGACCAGTTGCTATGATGCACACTGATCACCAGGGGGCAGACGCTCAACTTAGGAGCTTCCCCCTGGTGGTCAGTGCTCTCCCACAGGGGGAGCTCTGCTTAGCCACAAGCTGGACTGATGGCTGTGAGTGCAGTGGTGGTGGTGGTGGGAGCTTCTCCCACCTCCTCAGGAGCGCTAAGGATGTCTGACTGCGGCTTAGGCCCATAGGAGCAGGCATAAGCCTCAGTTGGACATCTCCCAAGGGCTCCTGGGCAGCCGGGGGATGTCTGACTGCCAGCTTAGGCCCGATCCTATATTAGTGAATAGCAGTACAGCAGATGTTGTCTTATTCTATCCCCTTATAGATGTGAAGCTGAAATAGTGAACAACTAATTAAAGTCACTGAAAAGAGTAAAGTTTATATGTATAAGATTGTATTGGATATTTTATAAAAATAATAATGAATTTAAGATATAGTATGTAGTGACAACTTTAACTCCAATCCACATGTGAGAAGGGTGGGCTAGAAGAAAGAGGGGAGGAGAAAGGTAGTCTGGAATAATGAATTACCTGGCAAGGGACCTGGGTTGTTCATTACTATTACATACTATACAGTACATAGACTGATCAAACCTCTAACCCCTCCATCCATCTTAGGTCAACTCTGTATAAGAATTGAGGACAACTCTTTTTCTCTCTGATTATATCTTTTCTGTTTCAAAAATTGGCTTTTTCTCTAATTATCTTGATAAAACTCAGACTCTGGTTTGAAGTGAACTAACCATACAACTATAGGCTGTTTGGTCTGGTTTGATTTGAAGTAGGAAAAAGGAGTGTCCTACGTGATCTGTCCCATATTGTTAGAGTTCTCTGAATTGGGATTGGAGGTGTCAGTTCCAGCTAGTAGAAAGTATAACTTTATTACCTGATTTTCTGCTGTTTGTTCCTTTTGTTCACATACTTTGGAGATTTTAATTGGTGTGGGATTCGGGCATTCTTGGGTACTGTCATAGCATCTGACAATAGTCCAATCTCACCATGTTTTTAATGAGTTCACACATACTTGTCAGTCTAAATTTTTTACAGAATAAAAATGTTTGACAGAACATCACTGTTAGGCAGTTTTGCAGCAGGCAGACAGGCAGTCAATATCAAGTAGAAATTCAGGGAGACTAGGTTAAATGCTACAGAAGAGAGACTCATTTGTGAGACATTGATTTTCTTTTTTGTCTTTATAGGTTGCTATGGTGACAGACTATGGAGCCTTTATCAAAATCCCAGGCTGTCGGAAGCAAGGTGGGAGCCTATAACTTGAAATTTAGCCTTCCCACCGCATTGCCTTTGCTGTCACCCCCACCATATCCTAATTATAGGCTCTACATTTTTAGGTAGTTTTGTTTTTGTGTAGAGAGATGAATACAGACAAGTGATGACAGTTAATTTTTAGCATATCATAACTCAGAAGAATGGTGCTCTCTGACTTGGAGGGAGGGTTGGCGTATAGCTACTTTGGTTCACTTCTGGAACCAGCTCTTCCCCAAATTTAACCTGTGACCCCAGGCAAGTCACTTGACCTCTTTGGTCTTGGGATTCGGGGGAGGGCAAGATACTTACTCCCTAAGGCTAACATTGTGAGTTTTCCATTTATGCACATGGAAAGGAAATAGTATTATAACCAATACAAATATATATGTTAAATGCTTTAAATTTTTTTTACATATTAATAGGTTCAAATGTTTGTGGAACATTTTTGGAGAATCTGTTTTACATGTATAATCTTACTTGTTTCTCGTAAGTAGAAAAAGCAAGTTTTATAGACTGGTAACCTGCTCAGAGTGATTTAGCTAGGTAATAGCACAGGCAGTACTAGAACCCAAGTCTCCTGATTTCTAGCCTCATGGGCTTTCTACTGCATCACACTGCTAGTGGATCCAAAGACTCAACTTGTTAATTTCTTGTGCTAAAATTAAAGATTGTAATGGAAAAATACCACCATAAGATATTATTAGAAGAAAATGTAGAATAATACTGCATAAAAGTAAAAGCTGCATTGCAAAAATTATAAGCGAAGTTGAGACAATTTGTCATACTATGACAAAGGACTCATAAAAGAACGGTGAAGTAGGAAAAGGAGCCAAGGATATGAAAAGAATTCACAGGGGGAAAAATAGCAGTTGATTAATAAATATCTTAAAAGATGCTCATTTTCATTCAATACTGATTTAAAAAATAACGTAAACAGTGGTACATCCATACAATGGAATATTGCTCAGCAATGAAAATGAAGTATTGATATGCACAACAATCTGGATCACTCTCCAGAGAATTCGTGTGAATGAAAAAGTTAATCCCAAAAGATTATACACTTTGCTATTCCATTTATATAACATTTTTTATTATTTTTATTTATTTTTTTAAAATATATTTTATTGATTTTTTTACAGAGAGGGAGAGAGATAGAGAGTTAGAAACATCGATCAGCTGCCTCCTGCACATCTCCTACTGGGGATATGCCTGCAACCCAGGTACATGCCCTTGACCGGAATCGAACCTGGGACCTTTCAGTCCGCAGGCCGACGCTCTATCCACTGAGCCAAACCGGTTTCGGCAACATTTTTTATTTTTAAATATTTTTTGATTGGTTTCATAGAGGAAGGGAAAGGCAGAGAGAGATAGAAACATTAATGATGAGAGAATATCATTGATCGGCTGCCTCTTGCATGCCCCCTGGGATCGAGCCCGCAACCCGGGCATCTGCCCTTGACTGGAAACGACCCTGCGACCCTTCAGCCTGCAGGTCGACGCTCTATCCACTGAGCAAAACAGCTAGGGCTATAACATTCTTTTTAAAAACAGTTTTATTGAGCACGGCAGGTGTTGCTCAGTGGTTGAGTGTCAACCTATGAACCAGGAGGTCACAGTTCGATTCCTGGTCAGGGCACATGCCCAGTTTGCTGGCTTGATCCCCAGTAAGGGCTATGCAGGAGGCAGCTGATCAATGATTCTCTCTCATCGATGTTTCTATCTCTCCCTTTCCCTTCCTCTCTGAAATCAATGAAAGTATATTTAAAAAACAAACAGTTTTATTGAAATAGAATTCACATACCATACATTTTACCCAAAGTGTACAATTCAGTGGTTTTTAGTATGTTCACAGAGTTTTGCAACAATCTCCACAGTCTAATTCGAGAACATTTTTGTTACCCCCCAAAAGAAATTCTTTAACTATTAACAGTCACTCTAAACTCCTCCTTAGCCTTAGGCAACCAGTAGTCACTGTCGGTGTTTATGTGATTGCACATGTGATCTTTTGTGATTGTCTTCTTTAACTTAGCGTGTTTTCAGGGTTTATCCATTTTGTAGCATGCATCAGGACTTCATTTCTTTCTTTTGCCATTCCAAAATGTGGTATGGAATCAACAACCAATTCTCTGATTCTCTGATTCTTTGATACCAATGAGGTATCCTACAATTCATTTCTGACACTAACTACCTGAAGGTGGCATCGGCCTGCACAAATTTAAGGGCTTAGTCCCACAAGACTCAATCAGACGCTAGTTGCAAGTACCAAGTCCCCAACATTACCCACACATCTGACTAACTTGACTATAAATTTAAAGGTTCCCATACTACCATCCCAAGTTTTAGTAACTTGCTAGAACAACTCAAAGAACTCAAGAAAATGCTATGGCTACTATCAGTTTATTATAAAGGACACCAATGAATAGCTAAATGAGGATGTATAAAGGGTAAGGTCTATAAAAGGGTCCCATGTGCAAGAACCTCTGTTTCTGTGGAGGTAAGGTGCATCATCCTTTCAGCACGTGAATGTATTCGCCAACTCGGAAGCTCTCCAGACTTTATTGTTTAGGGGTTTTTATGGAGGCTCCACCATGTAGGCACAAGTGGTTAGATCATTGACTGGGTGATTTGGTTCAATCTCCAGCCCCTCTTTTCTCCCTGGAAGTCAGTATGAGGCTGAACATTCTAACCTTCTAATCACATGATTAGTTCCTCTTGAGATTACCAGCCTCCATTTTCTTTTCTTTTCTTTTTTTTTTTTTAATATATTTTATTGATTTTTTACAGAGAGGAAGGGAGAGAGATAGAGAGTTAGAAACATCGATGAGAGAGAAACATCGATCAGTTGCCTCCTGCACATCTCCTACTGGGGATATGCCCGCAACCCAGGTACATGCCCTTGACCGGAATCGAACCTGGGCCCTTTCAGTCCGCAGGCCGACACTCTATCCACTGAGCCAAACCGGTTTCGGCACCAGCCTCCATTTTCAAGTTGTTCAGGGGCCCACCAATAGTCACTTCATAGCATAAACTTGGATAAGGTTAAGAGGGGCTTGTTATAAATAAGGCATTCCTATCACTCAGGAAATTCTAAGAATTGGACAAAGATCAAATGTGGATATTCTGGTTGTGATAATGTACTGTTGTTTTGCAAAATGTTCATCTTTAGCCCTAGCCGGTTTGGCTTAGTGGATAGAGCATCAGCCTGCAGACTAAAAGCTCCCGGGTTTTGGGCTTGATCCCCGGTAGGGGACATGCAGGAAGCAGCTGGTCAACAATTCTCTCTCATCTTTGATGTTTCTATCTTTCTCTCCCTTTCCCTTCCTCTCTGAAATCATTAAAAATATGTTTTTTATAAAGGTTTATTGCCCTAGCCGGTTTGGCTCAGTGGATAGAGCGTTGGCCGGTGGACTAAAAGGTCCCCGGTTTGATTCTGGTCAAGGGCACATGCCCGGGTTGTGGGCTCAATCCCCGGTGGGGGGCGTGCAGGAGGCAGCCGATCAATGATTCTCTCTCATCATTGATGTTTCTATCTCTCTCTCCCTTTCCCTTTCTCTCTGAAATCAATAAAAATATATTTTTTAAAAAATGTTTATCATTAGAGGAAACTGGCTGGGTAAAGGGAACATAGGATCGCTCTAATATTTCTTTCAACAACAGGTGAATCTAAAATTATCTTAAAATATTTTTTAAAAGTGATTTAAAACATTCAAGCTTTTTGAGATTAATGAATATTTTTAAAGATTATTATGTTATTAATACTCAGTATTGGAAATGGGTATTTCCAGTAATAGTTTTACATTTTTAATGTGCTTAAACCTTTAATTTAGCAATTCTGCAGAGAATTTAGTTTGTGATATAGCATTAGATAAATTATATACATCTATGAGTGGACAATGCAGATGAATGTTAACTGTACTATTCTTAGATACTTGGATGCTGGTGCCTTCCTCATTTTACCAGAAAAGATAAAATGGAAAGTTTTCACACAATTCTACCACACTGCTACCTGGCTGATGACAGTTGTAAGACACCATTGATTATAAGAAACATTCTGATTTCAGAAATGTTAATAGTGTGTATGTTTTTGGGAAGTGCTTCTTAGAATCGATGAAACAGGGTGAATCTCAATGTACTGAAATGGAAAGATATCCAAGTTAATAAAATGAAAGAGCATATTGAAGAAGAGTTTGTATGGCATGGCCCCCTTTTTCCCCCCTTTAAAGCATATGTGCATATGCTTGTGTATTTTAAAAATTATTGCATACAGGGGTGGATAAAAGTAGGCTTACAGTTTTAATACAAATAAATAATACAATGTTTAATAAATAATATAAAAATTCTCATACACTGTAAACCTACTTTTGCCAACCCCTATATGATTAGTAGTGTCTAGAAGAATATCCAACAAATTGTTAATAATAATTACCTCTGAGCAGTTCAGTTTGCTAAAGAAAAGAAGAGATGTACATAGAAGAGGGATTTATACCTTTTGCAGTTTTTAAAACAAAATTATTTTAATACAGTTCAACAGCTGGTCTTTGGATATTAAAGCCACGCTCTACCCTTGGAGACTACTGTGCTGCAAATTGCATTTTGGCATTATAAACGGCTTACCAGTAGTTTCCAAGCTATAATAGTAAGCAATCTGTAATAAAGTTTTTCATTTTATGTTGACTGGGATTTAATGAAATGGAAACTCATCCCCATGCCTATAGAGCATGCGCCTCTTTTGGTCTGAAGACAGATTTTCTTACTTTGTGCACTTGCCATAGCTGCCAGTATCTGAAAGTCCCATCCCTACTGGAGCATTTATGTGACACTTTGGGGCTATGTGAGTATTAAAGGCCTGCCGCCTTCCAGCAGTGTCTTCAACTCACTTGTGTACATGCCCTGTCAGATGATGGCTCTTACTGTGGTTGCCAGCTCTTACTGTGAATCTCAGTTTGACTGCTGTGCTGAGTGAGACCAGCCTGGGAGGGAGAGTTCAGGGA